ACTCCTCGCAGTGTTGGGAGGACCATATGGGAGGCTGGGAATAGAACCCAGGTCAGCCACGTGCAAGGCAAACGCCCTACCTGTTGTGTCATCTCTCCAGCCCCAGAACCAGGACATTTTTTTAAAAAAAAAACAATTCCTACCTTTTGTTATGCTCCTACCAGCTCCTTACCATTCTCCCGCTGTATTACAATATGTGATCATATTTGCATTAATCTTTTACGTTTTATGAGGACAGACTCCAGATAATGCTCACAGTTGTATGAGCCATGCTTGGCACAAAGTTATCTATCAATAAATATTGAACCATTTACAACGCAATGAAAGGTACTGCTTACCTCCTTACATTTCTGTTCAAACTTTATTATCACCTTTTAAATTTATTTTCAGAAAGGAGCACCAAATAAAGGTGTTGGGAAGATCCTCCCAGGATGGGAGAAGCATGCTGAAAGTAGACTATAAACCAAACATGATTGCCACTCAATGCCTCTTTTGCAAACCTCAGCACCCAAAAGGAGAGAGAGAACAAAAGGGAATGCCCTGCCACAGAGGCAGGATGGGATGGGGGGTTGGGGGGTGGGAGGGTACTGGGACCCATGGTGGTGGAAAATGGGCACTGGTGGAGGGATGGGTGTTTGATCATTGTACAATTGAAACCCAAGCACAAAAATTTGTAAATCTACAACTGTACCTTGTGGTGTTTCACTAACAAAAATTAAAAAAAAAAAAATGTAAATGATGGAGAATGAGCACTGGTGGAGAGATGGGTACTGGATCATTGTCTAACTGAAACCCAAGCACAAAAATTTGTAAGTCTACAACTGTATCTCATGGTGTTTCACTAATAAAAATTAAAAAATAAATAAATAAAATTTTAATTCTAAAAAAAATAAAATAAATTTATTCTCAGAATCAACACTAATCCAAGACAAATGTACTGATGAAAAAGAATATGAATGCAAGATGGCCACAAAACCAAATACTACATATAGCAATTTTTTAAAATTTCTATAATAAATATGCAGGGGCTCATTAAACAACTTTAAAAGATTCAACTAAAGTTCCTTCTACAACTCACAAAGCATTAAAGAATTCTAAGTTAGCAAACCTTGTATTCTTTATCAGACTCCACTTTCTATTTTCTCATATTTTGTCCTTTCTTTATGATTACCTGTTTAATTTTATCTCTTTAATAACTACTATATGTCCCCCAGCTCATGAATTACTGTGGAATGGGTGGGGAGGGAGAAGTAGAATGCTGGGGATGGAACCAAGAAACCCTCATATATACAAGGAATATAAACTGACCTAGGTCTCAGGTCGCCAATTTTTATTAAATCACTGCATTTTGTACAGTGTGACTGGATATCATCAAGTTACACTGGTGTTGATGGAATATTGTTATGGTTCAAAACTTTTCATTACATTGTTCTTTTGGAATTTCAGTTCTTTGAAGTATAATCGTTCTTCACGTTTTGAAAATATGACTAAAAACGTCTGATGAGTATCAAGGGAGATCAAACAGTAATATTATAAAATGTGATATTACTATAAAAAACATGATTGATTTTCTTACATAAATTCAAGGGCTGGAGCGAAAGCACAGCAGGTAGAGCATTTGCCTCTCACACGGATGACCCAGGTTCAATCCCTTCGCCCCTTTGGAGAGCCCAGCAAGCTATGAGAGTATCCCGTCCACACAGCAAAGCCTGGCAAGCTACTCCTGTCGTATTCAATATGCCAAAAACAGTAACAAGTCTCATAATAGAGACCTTACCGGTGCCCGCTAGAGCAAATCGAGGAACAACGGGAGGACAGTGCTACAGTGCTATGTAGATTCAAATGACTATAAAACCAACCATAATGAGATACTGCTTTTCAGTGCCATTATTTCAAAGACTATCATTTCTTTTAGCCATATGCTTACTCAAAGGGTTTGATCTGATTAATAATATAAAAGTAATTGACAATTTCAGAATTCAAAACTATGTCTACTATGCACACCGTGTAAAATCAAGTACATCCACAAGAATTAGAATATGTTGGGGGTGGAGCAATAGCACAGCAGGCAGGGTGTTTGCCTTGCACGTGGCCAACCCGGGTTCAATTCCCAGCATCCCATTTGGTCTCCTGAGCGTCAGCCAGGAGTAACCCCTGAGCATCTCGCCGGGTGTGACCCAAAAAGCAGAAAAAAAAAATAGAATATGCAAAAAAAATAACATTGTTATTTGGGACAATTTCTTTTTCCAAAATTACTTCATGTCCGGCTGATGTATTTCTGATAATTTAAAAAGATCAATAATTACTTCACTTAAAGATCTGCTCTATTTGATGAGAAATAAAATAACCTTTTGTCCTACGGTGTGTGTTCAGTGTGTGTGCGTGTGTCTGTATGCACCCATGCCTCTGTGTATGTGCATGTACATATTCTGCCTTGTCTCCAAGCAAGGCCTTCCACATGTACTTCCACTGAGCCCAAGACTTGAACTTTTTTTTCAATGTTTTTGCTTTTATCAGAATGTTAAGTTTCCAGAGACAAATCTTTTTGAGAATAGAGCTTTTAAGGTCAGTTTGATTCATTAGCTGCTTATCAAAAATCCTTTTATCACAATTTTTTAAATTTTAATTTTACCTTACCTTTTACCTTAATTTTATTGAATCATGATAGAGCATTATAAAATTGTTCATGATTGCATTTCAGTCATACAATGTTCCAACACCCAACCCTCCACCAGCATAATTTCCTAGCACCAATGTCCCCAGTTTTCCTCCCACTCCTTCAAGCCACTGCCTATCCCAGCTATGGCAAGCATCTCTCTCTTTCATTTTAGGCATTATGGTTTGCAATACAGAGTGATACTGATACTAGTTGGCAATGATCACCCTAGTTAAGAACTTTGAGTGTTGAAAGTGGTTAAAAGGATATAGATGACAACCTTTCAGCATCTTTTATCACAAACTTTAAATGTAAAATGTATATATACACAGAACCCCAACATTTTCTTTTAGATATGTGAAAATGGTTAAAGGATCTATTGTGTATTTCTCATGAACACTGTCTTGTTAAGAAAATTGTAAAAGTTAATAAATTCACAATACACTAACAACAACTTAAGGTATTTTTCCTTTTACACACTTCCAGATACCACTGTCTAAGAACAATCTCCAGCCTGATTAAGGAATAGGAAGGACTATGAACAGAAAACAACACATGTAGCCATAAACAAGACACGCAGTCAGAAACAGAACTGAAGCAACTGAGTCATTTCATTTCAACAGGCTTTGAATTTGTCTAACTGTTGCATTATATGAAATGTAAGGCTAACAGCAACAGCGTTCCTAAAGGGTAGTCAGCATGAAAAATTAAATGAAATGGGTGGCATTTTAAACCAACCAACATCTTAACCAACCAACCTTCTTCAACCATTTTACACTTGCTAATTTGCTCCTGTTCTGCATATTGGTACACAAACTAATTACAACCAGGGCAGTAGATCTGTGATTTCCAACCTTCTGGCACCTACAGATCTGCAACCCTTTGTAGACCAGTGGTTGAAGACCACTGTTTTAAACTAAACCACTTGCGGAAAATCCAAAGGAAGGTTGAATTATGGGGCAGGAGATAGGCTAAGTGGTAGGAAGGGCTCTCAAGTGTGCGTCCATGGGTTTAATTCCCAGCACAATATGAGAGAGAGAGAGAGAGAGAGAGAGAGAGAGAGACAGAGACTGGAGGAGGGGCGGGGCCGGAAGGGCAAATAGTCCAAAGGGCTGGTAGGCAAGCAGAATCCTGGTGGAGCTACACTGGGGCCATGAGGAGGGTGTGTCCCAACTACAAACAAAGAAGGATTAGCTACGGTTACTATTTTTATATCTGGTCTAATATTTTTATATAAAAATACTTAGTAAAATTCTTTTACCAGTAATTTTCTATAAACTGAATGCTGCAATATTAACATATACACAGTAATCTCATAATGTCCCCAGTAAGTGATCTGCTTAAACAGCGGAAAATCGTCAATCCAATCAAAAAATAGTCCAATCACCAAAGTCCAAAATATCAAGAAAAGTTTTTTCATTCCTCACTTCCAACTTCACTGTACCAAATGGGATGGATATTTCATGCATACATAGCAAACTGGGTACTACATCAAACAAGTTCTCGTCACAGAGCAAAAGGTAGACCCTGCTCTACCAGGATGAATACAGAACGGCAACCTGTTAAGAATGACTCAAAATTTTTCTCTGAGCGCGATCTTGCACGTTGAACTCTAGGTGTATTATTAACAAGGACCCGCTCTGCAGCTGGCCAATTACCAAAGCGCAGCTCTGCTAACGGCCGGGAACTAGCATCCTGACCTCCTTTCAAAATGGCAAACTCGAGCGGCCAAAGCCACCCGCGAGCAGCGAGCGCGCTCCATCACTCCCCGGACAACTTCACCACTCGCTCCGCCCCCTAATAACTCATGCAAAAAAAGTTGAGCCCCGCCGGGGAGACAGACCGGGAATTCTCGCCCGGCCCGGCCGCGGCTCCGGCGGGCTGAGGACCGGCGTGCGCCCTCGCGGGGGCCCGAGGAGAGGGACGAGGCCGGGGCTCCCGACGCCGAGGAGACGCCGCGGCACGGCGCTTCTCGCCCAGCACTCGGGCCTCCGCTCGCGCGGCAAGGCAGGAAGCGCCGGCGCCGACGTCCCCGGCTCGGGTCTTACGCTGGGAGACGGGCAACGCCTTCCCGCCAGGGCGGGGGTCCCCGCACTCCCCCGGGGCTCCGGCCCGCGGCCCGGGCGGGCGGGCGGGCGGGGAGGCGGCGCGGCGCGGCCCGGCCCGGCCCGACGGTTGGCGGCGGCGGGGGCGGGGGCCCAGGCGGCGCCGAGAGCGCGGCCGGCGGGGGGCGGAGAGGCCGTCCCGGGGCCCGACGCCGCCTCCTCGGGCGGGCCACCCCGAGGGCGCGCGGCGGAGAGGGAGCGGACCCCACCTCCCCCCTTCCGGTAACCGCGGCTCTTACCGGTGATGGCGGTGAACTGCTGGATTAACCCCTTCAGCGCCGAGGACGCCGCGGAGCCCCCGTGGGCAGCCATCTTACCGCCGCCGCCGCCACCGCCGCCGCCGCCGCCGAACAACAACACACACGGCTCCCCGCCCCCACCCCGCGCGCTGCGCAGGCGCCCTGCGCGCCCAGGCCCCGCCCCCGGCCCCGCCCCCGCGGCGGTTTGCGCAGGCGCGTCTCCTGGCTGCTCCGAGAACGTGCCCTCCGCTCGCGGGGTTGGCTGCTCGGTGGTTTCCTGCCGCCCCAACCTTTGTTGCTTCCTTTGCTGTCTCCCTCTGTCTCCCTCTCCGGACTCCCGGCTAGTCTAATAGAACGGCGTGGGTTCCGAATTTTGGACTGAAGCTTGGTAGTAGGCTTTTTGTGTCACAAACTTTATTGACAAACCCAGCTGCCCACCGCAGTTCTTTAAAAGAAAAAGACATTTACAGTTGTATGTCCCTTTGCTAGATTTCCTGTCGCTGCCCTCAAGGTAACAAGTCCCTCAAGACTGCTTGATTTTAAAAAAAATTAAAAAAAGGATTGCTTGGTTGCACCTTCCCTCCCACCTCTAACCTGTTTAAGTGTTAACTTACCCAAAGGAAGTGAAGTACCACAATCTTTGTGTGAGCCAAACAGGGCACACAATCTGACAAGATTTTACTACTGGCTTTGCTAAAAGGTTGTTCAACCTGCTTTGGCCCATAAATTTGTCAACACTTGTCTCCTCTCAGGATTTACTTTGTTTCCTACCTCTAAAATGAGGCAGTGTCTTTTATACAGTACAGGATAAAAATGTATGGAAATGGCATGGGGAAGATGTCCTCAAGAATAAGGGTTATTTCCACATTTGGGCTAATGTGAATAGTGCTACAATGTCCTTTCTGCATTGTGTTTTCAGACCCCAGAACACTGGTGAAGGGATTGGGACTCTATACACCTGAAACTAAATCATGAACAATTTTCTAACTCTCTAATTCACAATGAGTCAATAAATTTTTAAGAAAGAATGGTTACCCCTAAAGAGCAGTAGTGCAAATGGGACTATATTAAGTACTACATTAAGTTCACCACTGAAAGTCCAATTTTGTGATTCACTATACAACTGACCCTTTTAAATCAGATTTATTTTTCTCAACTCCTCTCCCCTTTCCTTCTGGTAACCCTTAATTTGGTTTTACAGTCTAACGGTTTAGTTATATTTTATTTGTTTCATTTCTCCAACATATCAGTGAAATAATGTGTTTGATCTTGTTTTATTTCACTAAGAATGCACTCTAACTTTATTCCTGTTTATGGCGTATGGCAGAATTTAAGTTCTTTAAATAGCTAAGGAGTATTCCATTGGGAATGTATGCCACACCTTCACCCAATGTTACCATATTAGTATGTTATTTAGATCACTTGATCACCTGATCCCTCGTTATTCATTGATTTACTCGAGCAGGTGCCAGAAACGTCTTCATTCATCCCTGTTGCGTGCTAGCGTAGCCCAATGGCATCTGTTTGTTCTAGGAACATGCAGAACCTCCAACCGATCATTCAGGGTCTTGACGAAGAAGTCTGACCATCTTGTAGGTGGGTGTCCACGTGATCTTTTGATGTCCTGTGGAATCCAGTCAGTAATGGCTCTAGTCCAGCAGTTGTCTGTAAACCTCATTACGTGTCCAGCCCATCTGATTTTTGATTCCTTGGCAAATGAGACAGCGTCCCTGATTCTTGAGCATTGATGAAGATCAGAACTATTCTATCTCTCATTTGATTCTATCTCTCATTTGAGTGAAGCGTGATATTCCAAGCATAGCTCTTTCGATTCCTCTTTGAGAGACCCAAATAGCGTTCTCATCCTGTTTTCGTAGGGCCCAGGTCTCTGAGGCATATGTTAATGCAGGAAGAACAGTGGAATCGAAGAGATGTACTTGTAGCTAGAGGTTCTTTGTCCTGTTAGTTATTTCTTCAATGCTCTTGAAGGCATTCCAAGCCGCTCTCTTCCTCCTGCATAACTCAGGTGCCAGGTCATTCATCATGTTGATTTCTCGACCTAGGTATATATAACTGTTACATTCGGAGATGGTGGTTCCGTTGAGAGCGAATGGAGCATCATAAACATTGTCTTCAAACATTGTTTCTCATAAACATTGTCTTCGTAAGATTCAGCTGTAGTCCTACCTTTCCACACTCACGGTCGAAGTCGGTCAGCATTTGTGCCGCTTGGCTGATGTTTGGTGTTATTAGAACGATGTCATCAGCAAAGCGAAGGTGGTGTAGTTGCCAACCATCTATCTTCACTCCCATTTCTTCCCATTCCAGTCGTCGCATGATGTTCTTGAGGGTGGCACTGAAGAATTTTGGTGAAATGATATCACCCTGCTGAACCCCTCTCTTGACATGGATGATTACTTCTTTGTAGAATGGTGAGATCCTGGTAGTGAATCCACAATACAGCTCACGGAAGATTCTGATGTATTGAGTTTGTATGCCCTGATTGGCTAGGGCTTCTATGACCGCTTCCGTCTCAACAGAATCAGAGACCTTCTTCAAATCAACGAACATTAGACAGAGCGGCATCTTGAACTCCTGAGAAACCTCAGTGAGCTTAGTAACTGTGTGGATATGGTCGATGGCATTGAATCCTTTTTGGAACCCGGCTTGTTCACATGGTTGTCCTTCATCTAGTGTTCTGCTAATCCTATTCAGGATGACTCGAGTGAACAGTTTGTAGATGACAGACAATAGGCAGATTGGGCAATAGTTGCCAATGTCGTGGATATCTCCCTTCTTGTATAGTAGTACAGTCTTGCTGGTTTTCCATTGGGATGGAACCTTGCATTCAGACAGGTAGCGTGTGAAGAGCTGAGCCAGTGTATTGATGAGTACTGATGGTAAGTTCTTCAGGTGTTCAGGTCTGATCTTGTCTGGGCCAGGTGCTCTTTGCTTCTTTACCAATGAGATGGCGTGTTGAATTTCGGAAGGGAGAACATTGGGAACGATAAATCCATCATGCGGAATGTGGTATGTGGGCAAGTGGACGTGGCTATTAAAGAGATCTGAGTAGAAGTCATGAATAATCTTCTCCATTGCCCTTCTGGAAGATATGATAGATCCATCAGGATGTCGGAGGGCAGTCATCTTGGTCTTATAGTTGGTGAAGGACAGGCGGGCATTATGAATGCTTTTCCCGGCTTCTGCCGCATCTACCAGCACCGCTGTTCTCCTGTCTTTGAAGTCATCCTTGATGGCTTCTCTGCATTGTTTTGCCAGCTCGGACGTTCGCTTGCGGTTGCCTGTGGCATGTGCCAAGCCACGTTGGCGAATAAGTTCAAGAGTGTTCGAAGAAAGGCGTTTTTTTGTGGTTATCTCTCTCTTGGCATTCCTCACACAATCATGGGAGTGCTGAATCATTCGATCGTATTGCTCATCAATGTTGTCAATGATGGCATCTTTCCATGTTGCCGCAACAGAGCCAAAGAGCTCCCAGTTGGTGGTCGTTCTGGGAGTTCTCTTCTTAAACTTTGCATTCTTTTCTTCCCATTCTGTGAGGTAGAATTTTGCACGAAGGAGACGGTGGTCCGATCCCGTTTGGAATTTTGAGACAACAGCAACATCGGTTAGGCAAAACTGCTGATTGAATATGATGTGGTCTATTTCATTGTGGAACCATCCACTGGGAGACTCCCATGTCCAACGTTTAGATTCAGCCTTTTGGAACTGTGAGTTACCGTGGAAGGTCTTGGTTGACATGATGAACTCAGTCTGTCACCCTGTTTGTTCCATTCTAGGCCATGGGTCCCGATATGGAGTTCATCAGCTGATCTTCTTGGCCCTATCTTGGCATTAAAATCACCGACAATGATCTTGTAGAAGGTATGATCTTCTTTATAGAACTTCTCCAGCTCCATGTAGAACTTCTCAATTTCTCTTTCACCATAATTGGATGTTGGTGCATAGACAACAAAGATAGAAACTGCTGGCAGTGAGCCACATCTATTCAAGTGTAATCGTCCTATTCAGGTTGTTAGGCATTCGAATGAATCAATGCTCGTGGCTAAGTTCGTGTTGACAAGGATACCGACACTACCGACACCTCTTTTGTCACATGTTCCAAGGAACAGTTCTTCTCCAGTGTCGAAAACGGCGTGATGTGATTGATGTCTTCTTGTTTTCGGTCAGACCAATGATGTCGTACCTGATCTTTTGCGCTTGTACCATCAGGTCCTCGATGGATGCATCAGATGCCAGCATACGTGCATTGAAAGTACAGACAATCATTTTTGTCTTTCTTCATTTGGGCAGCCTATTTCTGCCTTGGGATTTTATCAGCCTCTCCTTCAACATCCTTCTCGACTCTGCCGTATTCAGGGTCAGGGGAATGAGATCCATTTTTTTTTACTGGATTTGGCATATTGAATAGACCAGGGATAGATTTCAGGCTCTGCTGTGTGGGTGGGATATTTAAGGTACCCTGAAAAATTAAATAAATGTAAATAATAAGTCGTGCGGCCGCGAATGCAGCCGCGCACTCCCGGGAGCTTGGTGTGATAATCTCTGGATCCTGGCCGTTGTTGGGGTTACATGGCAGTTGGTGGGTGTAACTGTCTAGCTACTGGCAGGTCCAGTCCCAAACCGTGCAGGCTTGGAGATCTCAGTCCAGGGTCCCACACACCTGGGTTCCTCTGCCAGTTCTTTTATGTGTGAGGCTCATCCAAGTGTGTGGCGAGTGGTCCCAGCATGACCTTGGCTGGGGCCCCGAGGTCTTCAGCTGTCAGGCCCTGATGAAGACAGTCAGGCACAGGGTAGGAGACTCTGCCTTGTTCTCTCCCGGGATCTTGGTGTGATAATCTCTGGATCCTGGCCGTTGTTATTTATATCACAAATCACAAATCATCCTGTTATTCATCGAATGCCTCGAGCAGGCCCCAGTAACGTCTCCTTCATCCTAGCCCTGAGATTATATTCAAGTCTCTTAAGGAGAATGAGACCCATCATTGTTACTGGTATTTGGCATATTGGGTATGCCATGGGGAGTTTGCCAGACTCTGCCATGTGGGCAGGCTACATTCGGTAGCCTGCTGTTTGTC